ACACACACACACACACACACACACACACACACACACACACACACACACACACACACACACACACACACACACACACACATAGAGCGTGGACAATTCTATCCTGCTTCCTTTTGTGCGAACAAGTCGTATCCCTAGCGTGATCGAACGTTTTTCTATTTGAGAATTTTTTCATCGCATAGCGGGAATATATGCGTCGAGGCATATGTTACCCTCGGTCTACTAATCTAACACTACGGAATGCTATACGGATAGATAGACTTCGGGCCGATTTTGCTTCGATTCCTATAGTACCCGCGTGCCGCGTAGCAGATGGGAAACCTCCGCATCACGAATCACTTGTTCGTAACGCAACCGTGTGTGCCGACTAAAGGGGTTGTATTGTCTCGTCGTCGTCGGCGTCGGCGGCGGCAGCGGGTGCGTGCGACGGAGCGAAGCACGCCCGTGAGTCAGACGCCGGGTATTTTTTTCATCGTTTGCGCGCGTAAAGTGGTTTACCTATTGTTCACCTGCGCGCACACGCTGTAAGAATGGTTGCCATCGCACCGCATCGTCAGTTGTTATTACAGTGGTTCGCCTTCCGTCTTTTAGTAACCGGCAAACGAGTGATGGAGCGATATACCACGAGCATGGGGAGGAGGGGAAGCGAAGGGTTGTGAGATGGTTTGGGAGTGAGGGTTTGGGTTTTGGGTGGAGAAGGAATGGTTAGTTAAAAGGTGGTTTTTGGTGTTATGTTGTGGGTGGGGCAGGGTGGAAGAAGGGTTAACTGGGAGGTGGTTTGGGGTGTTAGGTTTTGGGTGAATGAGGGAGGAGGAGGAAGGGTCAGTTAGAAGGAGGTTTGGGCGAGGTTGCGGGTGGGGCGGGGAGGAGGAAGGGTCAGTTAGAAGGTGGTTGGGGCGAGGTTGTGGGTGGGGGCGGGGAGGAGGAAGGGTTAGTTAGAAGGTGGTTGGGGCGAGGTTGTGGGTGAAGGGGCGAGGAGGAGGAAGGCTCAGTTAGAAGGTGGTTGGGGCGTGGTTGTGGGTGGGGCGCGGTGGAGGAAGCCATAGCAGGAGGTGATTAGGGGTGAGATTGTTGGTGCGGGCGCGGGCAAGGGGCGGAGGAGTAACCGAACCTTTCGCGCACACCGAAACGTGAATACTCCCGTTCCTATCTCGAAATAAAAATGGCGGCGTTTACCGTAGAATAACGTGAATGTGTTTTCGTCCTCTTTTCTCTCGCCAGGTGACGAAAGAGGAGTACGTATCATGCAGGATCCCGCAGCGGAACATCAGCCACAAGATCACGCGACAGATCCTCACCTGCGACAAACCCGAGGGACACAACTTCTACACGATCACCTTCAGAGAATTCACACCGATCCCGATGGGACTAGAATTCAAACGAGGAATGGACTACTACTATATATGTAAGTGTATAGCGTAGCGACACGTGCGCCATCGTGCGGTATCTTGCTCTTTTGCGCCCCCTGGCGTGTGTAGCAAGTTGTGGTGCCTATTTGTCTTTTTAGGGTCTTTAGGTGATTCGCGTTTGATGAGAGATCAGCCTCCATTCTGATCGTCACCCCTATCTTCCTGTCATGCAATCATTATTACCTGTCCATAAGAAAATTAAAACTAAATGTTTCTGTTATGTCATACATATTTTTGATTTACTTACAGTTATCCTCCTTACGCTTTTTTCCTTCACCTTACTTGTACTGTGTTACTGTAGGATAAATAAAGCATTATTTATTTAATGCAAATAACTTTATAAGACAGGAGAACCTAATATTATGTCATAATACTGTGCATATACACATATATACATGTATATGCCTACGTAGGTGACGAGAGTATAATATACAATACAGTTCGCACTCGGCGTTGCATTATTACTATAACAACGACCCTTTGCCATGTGTGTGGCTCCCCCTGCCAGGTGTGACACTGACTGTCATGCGCAGCAGGTGTCTAAGCACGCCGCAATTGAGTAATCCTTTGTCCGGACACGCATGCGGAGCGGAATATTTAAAACGTCGTTTAGTGTCGTACGAAACGACCGTGCATTATTTATGGGCGGAACAACGACGGACAGGGATGAAGCCCGAATCACAACGGGCCTGAATTATTTAGCTCGCTGCAAAGAGCGTATCAATAAAGTGCTTGTCATAGAACCGCGACGAGCGGCGCAGTTCAAGTTTGAATGGAAAACGCGCAGTTTGGAGAGAGAAACTCTCGTGAAAACACAACAGAGACGTCCGTTTTCGCGAGAGTTGGCGTAGACAGGCGGAGGTGCGATGCGAATGAGCGGCGGCCATTGAACATCTTTCGAACTGTCGA